TAAAAAAACCTTCAAATATCAAATATACTTTCTTGAAACTTTATTTGAGGAATATTAGCTGATTTAAATTTTAATTAATCTAATTTGAAACAAATATTACTTTTAATTTAAAATATCACATAAATGCATCTTCTAACACGGAGGGTAGGTGTTTATTTAAGGTACTGGCAGGTTGACAACATGACTGACAGAGGGTTGTTTTTTTTAAATTCTTTTCTATGGTGGACATATCTGTAAAAATTACTTGAGTAATATAACGTAAATGCCTTTTTTATATTATTTTTTACCTACTCAGTAATCTAAAAAATTAGGAAAATATTTTCCGTAATCTACTTTTTATTGAATTTTAGGTACTTTGGTTTTAAATTAACTATACATATCGCTCTTTTTTTCTGACAATATCGTATATGGACGTCCGTATTTACAAAAATCGGTAAGTTTTACACACCCACACAAAATAGAAATTCTTTGAAAAATATTGAGGGTCACTGAATTGTAGTAAGCCTTTCATTTTATGATTACTAAATATAGTTTTTACTTAAAACAATATCACATAATTTGTACAAGTTAATACAAAAATTTAAAAGAATAATTAGAATAATTTATGAAGTTTTAAACTTCATAAATTATTCTAATTAAAATTAAAAAATCAAAACCATTCTTGTAAACTTTTTTATTAAGACAATAGTGTCCATAATATAACTTAATTAATTAAAAGCTTTTTTAATTAAATAATGTCTTAGTTTTATTGCATTATTTTTACGATTGAGAGCAGATTTTTGGTAACTGGTGGTGGTGGGGGGGGTCTTGTTTTACAAAAAAAAATAAAGAAATGATTTAAATTCTTCAAGGAGTTCTGCGTATAATTAATATAAACATTAAGCTGTAGGAAAATTAATTTCTCGAAATTTCATAAATTAAATAAGTGGGGGATAACAGATTTAAAAAAAATTACCAAGATTTTCGAAAGAAGAAATATTTCTGTAATAATTTAATTCATTTGTGAATAATTCCTGAAAGTTTCATTAAAATCCGACAATTATTTGATTTTTGCAAGAATTTCCAATCAATGTATCTTTCACTGCAAAAAAGATGCTAAAATTTCCTATGTTAATCTGACGCAAGAAAATCAAGAACATTCGAAAAAGGGTATAAAAATTATGATTTAATAATAGAAAAATCCTTTTGTCTTTCCTCTTAATAATAACAAAAATTTTGAACAACTTTGTATTTTTATTAAGTTTTTCATCATATTATGCTCATTTATTACCGAATGTGTAGGTACCTATTTTAAATAAATCATAATACCTAAACAAAAATTGATCTAATCAGATGTTCAGATAAATTTAAAATGATTTCTTCTTATGATTAGTTGGTTTAAGTTGCATTTTCGTTCGGCATAGGAATATTTAATTTTGCTATGCAGAAAGTTTTCAATGTCTCTATCAAGGCTATGTTATCTCCGTAGCTTCATAAATCTAACAATCTACGATTGCTTGAAATGTTGGTTTATTTTAATTTTAGCAAGCGATGCTCTTCATGAATTCTCAGTTTTAAAAAATTGATCTCATGAAATTCGATAAAGAAATTTGATTCAAAATCATTAAACTGAATTCTAAAGCATATCTCAGTGTGTTGCTACAGCAATATTTATTACAAATGTGAATACTATGTTCAATCTAAACCAGCAAATTAAACCTTACTTAACGAGCTGTAGCTGTTGGCATGAATCCCATCGGGCATGTATAACTGCAAAGTAATGGGTTGTCTCCCCATTGTTGCTCGTTCCCTGTAATAGAAGACATTAATCTGTTGACTCTCATTTATGATAAGCAAATCATTTCTCTTCAGTGTTCGGCAAGGGGAGACTCAAAACTATGCACCTTATGTCAGTGCACGTCTGTCAGTGTCAACGTTTGTTATCTTATAAATGGGTAAGTATATCCGGATAATGTAAAGGTCGATAAGTCTATTGCATGATTAGAAACAGAGAGGGAAAATGATAGCTAATGGGAGAGAAATAGAAAATAGGGATAAATGATGAGAGAAGTGGAACGTAGAAAGGGTGGTTATCGAGAAAGAAGGAGAGGAGAATGCAGAAGAAAAGAGAAAGAACAAGAAACTTGAGCAAGGTAAAGTGAAAAAGGAGAGAAAGAGAAAGTGAAAGTAAACAAAACGTAAGCAAAATGGATATATGATAAGCGAATCGCATTTAAAAGAAATTATTTTTAAAGATAAAATGTAATTATTTCGTTATAGGTTTTTGATTAATTTTTGGTAATAAATTGTTTTTACTCTAAATGTTATATTTAATGGATACATGTATTTGAGCAGACAGTCCTGTTTTTTATTTAAACAGCGAAATTAATGTTTATTGGACAAGTGATCAGGAGGGATTTTGCGTTCATAAGAGCCTCGATTGATTGATTTGTTTTTACGGCTTATCAACCTTTTACGGATTATTTAAAGCTTGAAAATATTTTCAGATTCTAAGAATATTTTGGAGATAATAATGATATAATTATACAAGTCCTAGTAATTAAACCACAAGTGGAGGTAGAAGAGATTTATTCATACCTTGTCCAGGCGTATTCCCGACTGGAATTAGAACTCGGTTCTCAAATTTCAATTCCGAGTCATTAGTCATTACACCACCTGCACATCCAAGCTTATAGCACCTTCACAAGCAGTCCCCGATCCAGGTACAGACCGGACTGTACGTTGCTTAATTTTGATGATTGTGCTAGAAACGGTGATATGGCCGTAAACCGAAATTTACGATCTCTATGCCGGTTGATATTTAAGAAAATCAAGAACATTCGAAAAAGGGTATAAAAATTATGATTTAATCATAGAAAAATCCTTTTGTCTTTCCTCTTAATAATAAAAATTTTGAACAATTTTGTATTTTTATTAAGTTTTTCATCATGTTATGCTCATTTTTTTTTACCGAATCTGTGTAGGTACCTACTTTAAATAAATCATAATACCTAAACAAAAATTGATCTAATCAGATGTTCAGATAAATTTAAAATGATTTCTTCTTATGATTAGTTGGTTTAAGTTGCATTTTCGTTCGGTATAGGAATACTTAATTTTTCTATGCAGAAAGTTTTCAATGTCTCTATCAAGGCTATGTTATCTCCGTAGCTTCATAAACCTACCAATCTACGATTGCTTGAAATGTTGGCTTAAAGATGTTTATTGAAGCACGTCTACCGAATATATTAGAAACGTTTTCAGTAATAAGAAATAATGTCGCATTTTTAAAAAATCACTTAATTGCATAAAAGATTCATTTCATTCGTATGTATTCACATATTAAATATTTTATTTGATATATGAATATATTTGCGTTCTAGTTTAAAGAGCGAAAATAACATTTTGGTAAATACATGTAACAAAGGAAAAATCTCAAGTTGTTCAGAAATTAATGCATGTTTTTAAAACATTAACATATGGATACACGTAGCATCTTATAAATGTGGGTTAACGATTTATAAAGAACTCATAACGTGAATTCTGAAAACCTTGTTTGAAAATTAAAGAACCTATAAATGTAATAATTTAAAAGCCAAACATGATTATAAATTTAAATATCATAAAAAAATTTTTTATTATTGATCAAACCTACCAAAAGAAAAAAAACAAACTTTTGTCTATAAATAAATAAACTAGCGATGCATGTTCCCTTCTAACGATGTAACGATTGAGATATTTGGCATAAACAACATCCTTAGCTTCAATATACAAAACTATCATTTAGTGCTATTTCGAGTTTGGTTTGATAATCGTCGGTCAGAGTGAATGAACAGCGATATCAAGGGATTAATTGATGTTGCCGACAAATGTTAGTAGTTTGATATTGGAACAAAGCAATTCCCTCTTCTGGGAACGGAAGTCACGTGGTGATGATAATATAAGAGCAACGACACCGTGTAATACAATTTCTTTTTCTTGTGGGGTTTCATGCGAGATGGTTAGCAGTAAATTACCAACAGAGTTAGCATGCTTCGGGTGAGGCATACGCAACGAGGCCGAACAGATAACTAAGAGAAGGATAAAATCCTTACGTAGCAACACCCTTTGATCTCTTGATCCTTGCATTAATGCTGGAGTGGCTTGAGACTAACAATTCTAGTTTAAATTTGACCCCCAAATTATTAATTAAACTGACAAATATATCAAAAGACTTATCTTAATTCTTACATGTTATCAAATAGCGCTTATAAATCACACATGGTATATACGTTACCTTATCTATTTTTTAGTTTTAAATATTTATTACTTTTGATCATTTTGTAATTTTCTTATATATTGACATATACATTTACTTATGATTAACTTCCAAGTTTGGCAACCTTTCAAAGAAAATTGGCGAAGTGTACAAACATAGATATAAATACATGAATATCGACTGATAATATAGAGGGAATCTATCTATCTATCTATCTATCTATCTATCTATCTATCTATCTATCTATCTATCTATCTATCTCAGTCTGTTCTTATCTATCTATCTATCTATCTATCTATCTATCTATCTATCTATCTATCTATCTATCTCAGTCTGTTCTTATCTATCTATCTATCTATCTATCTATCTATCTATCTATCTATCTATCTCAGTCTGTTCTTATCTATCTATCTATCTATCTATCTATCTATCTGTCTATCTATCTATCTCCTTTACGTACAACAGATGAACAAGACGAATTGTCCTGTAAGAATTCTCCTCCTCATGCACCATGGACTATCATATCTCTTTTCGATTCATGATTGACTTGGCAGAAAGCTGTTACTTTCTGAGGCAGACTGGTGGCCAATCAAGCCCATAAGATCAACTCCGTCCTGCTATTTAACCCAGAGATGGGAAGAAAAGTGACAGATTCATAACTTACCCAAATATGTGCATGTAACGAACTCGACTGCAATTCGAACTCGGCTTACTGATTTCACATTCCAAGCCGTTATATATGACACTCTCCTCAAATCCAATCTTACAGCACATGATATTCCCAATCGGTTATCCATCTAGGTACTGACTAGGCCAGACGTTGCTTAACTTCGATGATCAGACGAGAATCGGCGTTTCAACGTGTTATGGCCGTAAGCTTCTGTTTGAATATTATTTCGAAATGTGAACTAGCAGTGATCCCTGGTGCTGACGGAAAATTTTTGAAAGTATCGCAATACAGAAAAATATGCTCTTCAATGTATTTCCTCTTACAGAGCATAAAAAAGAAGAAAAAATGGTTATTTACACATAAAAAGTAGCTGTTTCCGTAAAATATACTTACACACAAAACAAAAAATGACATAATCCCTTAATTTGACAGAGTCCCTGAGTTCATAACATAACGCTTCTCCCGCTGGGCGTCAATACGAATATCTTATGTGGGGTCCTGAGCAATAAACAAACAAAATGTCCATGAGAAAATCGCGGAGAAATTAGGTTGAGGATAGCGATCCTTATATCTTGATGACACCTATGAAAAAGCACAGTGGCACTGGGAATTGGAGTCAACTGAATTCAAACGGAAAGTCTGTTCCAATTATGGTGATTTGCTAAACGTAGCTTAGATGTGGCACGAGTTCGAAAGTATGGGGCACCCAGCGAGGAATTATTTTTTTAAGTATAGCTTAGATGTGGCACAAGGCCGAAAAGGTTGAGCACCCAGTGAGGATTAAACTCACTACTCGGTCATAATTGATCTAGCGAGGCAAAATTGCTAACCATTATACCATGCCGAAGTGTTCAAGTCTGTTCCAGTTCTGGAGATCCTGGGAATGGATAAAACTTCTTTTTTCCCCTAACTCAGTTGGGATATCTGCCTCAATGACGTGTGGATGAAGCTGTTTGGAATCTAAACGAATTCCATTGCATTACTCTGGAGGGTCGAGAGTTCTCAAAAGGATGAGGAGTGTCGAAACGTTTAATTGAAAAATACAGAGAACCACCAGGCCCGCTTAAGGGAACTGATGAATTAAGATGGGTTCTGAAATGATTTAGAAATGTTCGGTACAACGTCAATCGATTTATACAGGTAAACCTCCTCAAAAATATTTTGAAACAGCTGAGAGTGTTTCTTCGACTGCACCGTTACTTGGACAAGAATACAACGTCCTCAGAGATACTGATAGTTTGTTTTAGTTTGGAGATATATTTTACATTTAAAACATTAGAAACAATCGAGTTTACCCCTGACAATTTTATTCATATTGATAATTTTTTTCAGTGTTGTTTAACGTTTCATAAACAGCGGGAAATTAAAGAGCTTTAGCTATTACTTTTTAAAAAATTTCGCTGTAAAGGTATTTTAATCTTAAATTAATCTTAACGGTTAGCACCACCTAATGCATAATTTGTCTTCCTAATGTACGCTGACATACCAATTTACCTCAATGATATAATTATAATACACTATATAGGCTCTCACAAGTTTGGTTATATATTAGGCAAGAGTGTGCTGAACAATAGTAAATTCTTAGTCCCTTCTCTCTTCAATCAATTTGACGTATTGACATCTACTGCATATAAAGCAAAGTACTTTGCTCGGAAGTTCTCTTCTAATTCTAATCTCGACTCATCTGGAGTATCTCTACCAGATTTCTACCCTAGAACGGAAGCTCTACTGAGTGATTTGCGCATATCTCCGTCATTGGTTTCTGCTATTATTTCTAAATTAGATTCCCACAATGCATGCAAGTTTGACGAGATCCCTGCAGTCGTCCTAAAGAAGCGTGCTCCTGAGTTGATTCTTGTCCTCTGCAAACTTTACAAACTGCAAACTGCTTCTCGCTTTCCAGTTCGTTGGAAGTCCTCCTCTGTAGTTCCTGTTTTAAGAACTCCGGGGAACACTCTGACCCCTCTAATTATCGTCCTATTAGTAACTTACTTCTTTTTGGTAAAATACTCTAACCAACGCCTAACTGGTTAAGCATCTTACTTTTCACGGTCTCCTTTCGGACAAGCAATATGGCTTCCGTTTCGCTGACATGTTAACAGCCATTATTGTATTTGTCTCTCAAACCTTAGATAAGAATGGTGAAATTCGGACTTAGGCTCTAAATATTCTCAGAGGCGTTCGACAGGGTTTGGCATGTTGGCCTACTCCACAATCGGGTTACGGTCTCAAGATTTGATTTTAATAAAATCGTTCCTAACAAATCGTGCAATGGAGGTCGTGTTAAACGGGTACGCTTTTATATCATTCCATACTAACGCAGGGCGCCCCCGAGTTATATCCTTGGACCTACGCTGTTACTAGTTTTCATCAATGACGTCGCCGAGGTCATCAGTTCCCAGCTAGATATTTATGCAAATGACACAACTATTTACTCCTGTGTTAGTAGCAAGCATGAAAGACCCAACAAAGTACAACTGGCAACTACTTTCGAAAATGACCTCCAATCAGATGTTGACTAAAGCAAGAAATGGCCTGTAAATTTCAACGCCTCCAAAAGAAAACTGCTTTCATTTCATCGCCACTGAGAACCTTTTTCTGTCTGCCATAAGTATGGCTGATGATAGACTCCAGGAGAGTAACTTTTTGTCCCTTCTTGGGCTCACGTTTTCCGCTGACATAAAGTGCAGCGACTATATCGATTCAATTGTTACATCTACAGCTACGAAAATTGTAGTCAGAATCCATCTTGCACCATTCGTCCTTGATTTGAATTTTCTTATGAAGTGATCCCGATATTTGAATTTGACCTTTTATTTTACGTGTGAGGCTAAAATCATATTTGTACTTCATAATAAACTCAATGTATAACTCTATTTTGCTAGAAATGACTTCATTTAACTTGAAATGGCATTCTTTAAATTTTCTGACTTTAGTGACCACGAATGACCTTCGAAATCATATGTAACATCTGGATTGTGTATAAGTTTTCATTCAAAAGAATACGTCAATGGACCTTGAATGTGTATGGAGAATAAGGTTTATTGCGAGATGCAATCTTTTTAATCAATAAAACAATACTCCTTTTAAACATATCTTTTAAAAATCCATTTGAGATCCCAGAAAATTCATTCTCTTTTCAATTTTACTTCATATCATTTATCGGTGATTAATGATTCCAGACAATACTAAACATTAATATTTCTTTATTTGATTACCGGTGTCTTTAATTCAAAATTGTTTAAATCCTATTCCCTTGGTGTTATTTTAAATAGACGCCTTCTTTTTCCATATATATGGAATATTTAGTTTAAAATCCCATTTTCTAAAATTCAGATGAAAACATAAAATTTTCCAAAAAATATTTCAGTGAAATTTTCACATTCCAACATTATAGTTCATAAATATAGTTTAAATGTATGGAAAAAGGCGTCAGTTTAAACGGACGCCAGGAGCATTTGGGTTAGGCAAAAAACAAAACAAAAAAAAAAATACGGATAAAATATTATTTATCAAAAAAGCGGCCTGTGACATATAGAGTGAATATAGAGAGAATTTCGTTTGTAAGTCTTTCGGAATCGCCTCAAGAAATTATATTTCCTGAAAGAGAGATCATGGAAAATATGAGTTTACTGAAAAATGATAAAACAGTAAAGAAATAATGAGGCTGTAGACAAAAACGACTGATGTTGATAACGATGTTTTAAATGAGCATTATAATTTATGCAATTATATTAAATTATACATTGTATTAGGATAAGCAAGAAGCATAATGGTTACTGGCACGGAAAGAGTTCAAATTCCAGCCTCGTCTATTCCGTTCATTTCACTAATGCCCTTCACTTGCCAATCAGTTGCTCTTCAGTTGCCCTTCAGTTGCCAAGATTAATTTATTGATTCGTTTCTTACAGCTTATCAACATTTTGCACGTTATTTAAATCCATAAAATATTTTTTAAATTGTAAGAATTTTTTTTGAGATAATAATGTTCTTTATTGCTCATTAATCCATAGCTAGAGGTAGAAGAGGTGAATCCATACCTTTCACGAGAGTATTTGCGTTTAAGTTAATATAACGAACCCGACTGGAATTTGAACTCGGCTGTCCGATTTCCAATTCCTAGCCGTTATACCACCCGCATATACATGCTTACAGCACATGGTATTCCCAAACGGTCACCCATCTATGTACTGAGTAGGCTAGAGGTTGCTTAACTCCGGTGATCGTACGAGAACCTCAATTGCCAAGAAGACATGGCAATTCATGCATATTAAAGAAAAGGATGCTACGGAGAGCCGGGGCCCCTTTATTCTTGAGACATTAAAAAAAGTCTGTGTATGAAATACCTGAAATATTAAAGTCTGAAAATGAACTAAATTAAGAAACAGGAAAAAAATCGTTAGAAACAAAGAAAAGATTAATGAACTGCTTTGGAATATCAATCTTCTTATGAGGTATTTGAATAGTGGACAATTAACTCGCAGATGAAAAGGTACCTTCAGACAAATAAGGTGTGATTCTATAAAATGATGCTGAGAATACCATGGACGGAGCATTTATGCAACGGGGAAGTTTTAAGGAAAATGGAAACGAAAAGGACAGTTATAAATAGTTGGAATTTCTGAGACACATAACGAGAAAAGAACTACTTCCATGTCTGGTCTAGTGCTATATCTATATATCTCGAGATTCCTGACAAAATTCAAAGAAGGATCTGTAATGTAATTGATCCTGACCTGGCATCTCGACTTCAGTCACTTTCTCACCCACATCACGTGATTTCCCTTTGTCTTTTCTACAAATATTTTCATGGCAATTGTTCTGATGGGCATTGCTTCTTGGTATCTCGCCTGCATGAATTTAAGCATGCTACTAGATTGGCAACTAGATCTCACTGTTTTACAATTGAACTAGCTAGATGCAACTGTCAGTTCTATTCTAATGGTTTCTTGTCTTGCACTTCTCGCCTGTGGAACTCACTTCCGATTTCTTGTTTCTCTACCATCTACAATTTCAAACATTTAAATACAACGTCAATCGTCATCTTTTGTCTTCCTGAATGCTGTTTCTTTATTGGTATTTTTCTCTTTACTAAAATCTTCTCATTCTGTTTAACTCTCTGTAACTCCCTGAGACCTAGTGACACTATCTCCTTCCTTGGGGTGCAATGATTAAAAAAAAAAGTAGTTCCGAAAATATGACACCCATGAGCTAAAAAAAAAAAAAAATCTAAGAGGGTCAGATAAAAGCTCCCAGGTAACTTACCTGATGAGCTTCTTTAAATCGATATCAGAATAGGGAGTCAGAGGGGATAATAAAAAGTAAACATTGTTCAGAGTTACGAAGGATAGGAAGTTGTGGTGAGCCGAGATATTCCATAACCTGATGAGACACGGAGCATAGATGATGATGATGTATTAAATGATGATGATATTGCTGCTATTTCTGCAATATTTGCTTATTCTGATAACTGTGGCGTTTCTCATAAAGATTATGAAGATGATAACGGTTTGAGTAAGGATGTGTAACAATTATTGTTTGCATAATAATTCCGTTATAATCACTATTCCAATAAGTTTTTTTTTTTAAAGATTTAGGTCAAGTTTATTATTATGATAACATTGGTATTTTAGTCTGGTGTTGTTATTGAAGGAATGACTGGATACAGAGCCACTAAACGGAACTACCGAAACAGTTTCTATCCTTGTGATCCTCACATTATGTTATTTTGTAACATTATCCTAGGTAAAAGTAAAAATCAAACTTTCCTTCACCCTGTTCCTCTGCTGGTGAGAATAAAATGGCGGTTGCGAAGATGGCGTTCGGTGATAAGCTTCCAAAAACTGCCGTTAAAATGAGAATGTTGAGATAAGAAAAGGAAAAAATGTTCTCCAGCAGATAGTTTCAGCTTTCTCTTTTATTTCTAAGATAAATAAAAGAAAACTAGGCATATTTTTGTTATATTTTATCTTCATGTCTTTAAAAATCTTTTCTATCTTTTTCTCTTTGCTGTCACATTATTTTTTTCTTTCTTTTCAATATTTCTCGTTATTTCCTTCTAAACATTGTCTATTTCGTTTTATTTCTTTTCAACACGAACTATTTCTTCTTTCTTTTTTCTATCTGTCTTTCTTTCTTTTCAACATTTCCTGGTTCTTCCCTTCTTGTAAAAATTACTTCTTTCTTTTTAATTCTTTCTTTTCAACATTTCTTTCTTTCATACCAACGTTGCCCTAAAAACATTCCTTCCTTCCTTCCTTCTTTCTTTCTTTCTTTCTTTCTTTCTTTCTTTCTTTCTTTCTTTGGTTTTCATTGGTTCTATTTTTATTGCAATATTTCTTGCTTCTCTGTATGTCTTCTTATCCATTTGTTTCATTAGTGCTATCTTCATTTTCTCTTTCCTCGATTTCCTCTTTGCCCTTCCACCTTCAGCAATGGGTGTACGCCCTTTTCTCTGTGTTCATAGTTCTTCCATATATATATATATATATATATATATATATATATATATATATATATATTTATTTTCTTCTTTCTCCAACAATCATTTAATCGGTTATCTCAAATACTCACACTAGGTGGACGTACCGTTATCGTTAATGCGAAAATTATTAATATCCAAAGCATTCTTCACTTTTATTATTTTTGAAAACTTTAACCTACCCGCTTCTTTTCTATGTACGTACTTTAGGCTATCTATCTATGCATCGTTTCCATGCCTTTGCCAATGACTGTTAGATGAGCTAATGTATTGCCTTTAAAAAGTTAAATTGCTTGGCGAAATACCAGAGTGAAAATATAAAAATACAAACTAAATATTATCTGTAATTCTCGGATGGGACATTATCTTTATTTCATAAGCCTTTTTCACTAATAGTCCCATCTTTGTTGCTTTTATTTCTTCGTTTTCACCGAACATGGTAATAAAACCAAAAACGTTGAGAATATTGGTTCGAATAACCCGTGAAATAATTTATTATTAAAACCAGTTTGAATTACAACTACAAAAACAGTAACTTGATTGAAATTTCCAATATAGAAATCGTATCAATACTTTTAGGTGCATAATAAAAGTGGGGAATGTTTATTTTTAGGAAATTTTCCGAAAGCCCGTTATTATTAAGTCTATCCTGTTTATTAGTATCACGCTTTTTGACCCTTTAAACGATTTTCCAATGTTTCCTCTTTTTAAGACGCCTATTTATCGCATTTATGACTCCAGGTATGAAAAATTCTCTTGAAGTAGGCATCCAAAGAATACAAGATAATCAAGGCATTCGTGATAATAAAATTTAAATTATTAACGTAAAATATACAGAAACAATGAAGAGCTACAGACATTTAAAAAGTAACTCACTTCTGATAAAAATTGCCAAAGACGTTATAGAATTGTTTTCTAAAGAAACTACAGCGTTTCCAGATCCTAAAATTGGGCGGGTATTTTTTAATGGCTTTCCGAATACTATTGACCTTTTCACTATTTTTAAAGAAATGTTTTATAGTTCCGACAATTCGAAATAATTCAATATCTTTTTACTTCTTAGATTATTTATGTTCTTAAATCTTATAATTTTTAATTTCTTCTCTATGCATAAATTGTAATTTTTCTTGTTTCTGATTCACCTTTGTTTAGTATATACTATTCTATACATGGAATTTTCTATTTGACTTTTAATTTCCATAAACATTTTGACAACCTCTTTCATATATCTTTCATATCTGAATGATTGTAAATTGTTTGCACATCTTTTCTTGATTCCTTTCCTAGTTCGTAGTCCTTTCTTCCCCAGATTCTCTTTTGTTCTTACTATTGCCTTATATAATATATTTTCCTCACTCTCACACACACACACACACACACACACACACACACACACACACACACACACACACACACATATATATATATATATATATACACATACACTACAGTGCAATGGTTTGAGGAAACCCCGCCTGGTAATTTTTAAAATTTGCCCAAAACTTAGTTGTTTTATACTTTAAATATGAGAAAATTATTATAAACAGTTAAAAAAATGAGACATAATTTTTTATTAGAAATTTTATTATGACAAAAAGAAAGAAAACATTTTAAGATTAAATTTTGATATCGTTACAATATCGTCCATTAGCTTTGATTAGAGCTGCACAATTTTTTGGCATTCGTTGCAATTCTAAAAATGCAAGTTTGATTCCATTATTTTTTTAATGACTATAAGAGCTCTTTGGAATGGAAAGGTGTCAGCCATCTGCAAAGTTCGTCCCATGCTAATTCTGGGGGTGGTTTCAAACTTGTGAACTGTAATGTATATATATATATATATATATATATATATATATATATATATATATATATATTATATATATATATATATATATTTACCCATATATACATGTCTGTGTGTGTAAGTGAGTGAGAGGAAGTGATTGAGTGAAAGAGAGAGGAGAAAAAGAGAAATATAGTGTTGCTCGGTCATTTGTGTTAACTGATTGATTGATTTGCAAGTTATTTAGAACCAGAAAATATTTTTGATTGTAAGAATTTTTTTTGAGATAATAGATCCTTAGATCCTACTAATTAACCCATAGCTGGATGGAGAAGAGTTGACTTCATATCTCTCCTAAAGGTATTTGCGCGTAAGTAAATATAACGAACCTGACTGGAATTAGAACTCGGCTCTCCGATTACCAATTCTGAACCGTTATCCTTTACTCCAGCCGCACAACCTAGCTTAAAGTATCTGGTAATCACAAGCGGTCACCTATGTACGTACAGACCAGGCTCGACGTTGCTTAACTTCGGTGATCGTACGAGGACCGGTGTTTCAACGTGATATGGCCGTTAACCCATTTCTATTGATTGGAGTCATGAAAAAATGTTTGCACTAAAAGCCTCCTGTAAATATCATTCGTTGTGCCTCAAACTAGTAATCTACTGACATCTTCCACTGTATATCCAGTCACACATAGAAGACATTCTAATTTAGACATTGCAAGCCGTTCATGCAATACTTTCCATTAATATGCAAAAAAAAATACTAAAAAATATAATTTTCACCATTTCCGTCTAATTCGTTCTTTTACCTACAGTTTTTACCACTGACCCACAAAGCATACTGTTCACAAAGGATAGCGACAAAAGATTCCACCCGTGCCTGCATATTTCCCAGGTAATTGGGCATATTCTCGAATAAACACACAGATAATCTCTTACTTAGCGACGCTCACTCGTTTTGTTCACTTTTTAGTATACTTTGTTGTTCTTTTATTAGTTTTGTTTATTCTCGACAGTCGAAATTCTAAACCTGGTCTAGGAAAGTCAAGGCACGCTTAACCAAAGAGGTTGGTGCCATAAAATTTCTGGTTTCAGAAGCCATATGCAATGAATGTTACTGTCATTGAGTTTCTCTTGAAATTTAACGTTGGATTAGAGTTAATTTAGCTTGATAAATCCAGGATTAAATGCGGATTTGGTAGAAATTAAGAAAATATTTTGTATTTTCTTATTAGATGGCCAACCGTCATTAAAGTTTGACTAATATTTCCTTGATATCAATTTTAGTTGTTTTTCTTGGCAACTACTTAAGACGCCATTTTGTGGTAGTCAGTAAACTGTAGAAGTTGGAAATAAAGATGTCGAATGACGTTCAGAATAGCTATGATGGGGACCAAATTAAGATGAAGGAAATGATGGTAATGCAAGAAAAGTTCGAATAAAAATCAGAGCTCGAAGAGAATTTCACGCATTCAAACTTTTTATCTCTCTCTCTCTCTCTCTCTCTCTCTCTCTGTTATTTATGCCATCCGTACATAATTATACAACTGAGAAATGTGAACGCAAAGCAATTATTTAGACTATTTCTATCAGTATTGTTATCAATAAGTAAGATTAAAAAATATTATTATTATCTACTATCATTACATGTCTTCCGTTAAGGATTCTTTTATTGCAATTACCAATTAATCTAGCAGCAAATTTCTCCCCCCCACCTCGTCCTTTTCGAACTGTTCTTTATGTTTTTTTATGATTTTGAATTTTATGGAAAGTGAAAACCACTTATTTCGTTGCATTGCTTTTCATCTTCTTCTTGATTTAGATGTGTATATTATTATGGATATACATGCAATTCTTTTTTGTTAATTCCAAGATAATCTCGCATGACTTAATTCGTAAAATGAAGGTCGTTCTGAACGGGCTTGCTTCCAGATACTTTCACACGAACGCGGGTGTCTCCAAGGCTCTATCCTGGGTACTACGCAGTTTCTGATCTTCTTCAATGATCTTACTTATATCATCAGTTCCCAAGTAGGCATTTATGCAGATGACACTACCATTTGCTCCTGTCTCAATAGCAAATCCCTCAGTACCGATAAACTTAACCTGACCTCATATCAGTGGTTAATTGCGGTAAGAAATGGATTGTAAATTTTAATGCCTCCAAAACTAAACTGCTCTCATTTAACCACCATAGGGAAACTTTCCTGTCTACCATCAGCATGGCTGATACTAGACTCCTGGAAAGCAACACACTGCGCCTTCATGGCCTCACGTTTTCAACTGACTTGAAGTGGAACAACTACATTGAATTAATAGCTGCATCTATTGCAAGGAAAGTTGGTTCATTGTGTCATGCCAGAAGGTTTTTCACGACAAAATCCATCTTGCATATTTACAAACCTACCATTCGGCAGTGCCTTTAATACTGTTGCCATATCTGGTCTGGTGTTCCTGCTATTCATCTCGAGGTTCTTCTCCAAATCCAAAGAAGTATCTGTAATGTAATCGATCCTGACCTGGTAGCTTCAGTTACTTTCTCACAGACGTTATGTAGTTTCCCTCTGTCTTTTCTTCAAATATTTTTGTGGAAACTGCTGTAATGAGCTTTTTTCTCCTGGGGCCCGACTACATGAATTTAAGCGTACTACTAGATTGGCATATAGGTTTCACCCTTTTAATATTAAAATAGTTAAATGTAACTGCCAATTCTACTCTAACAGTTTCTTTTCTCACACTTCCCGACAGTGGAACTCCCTCCGGTTTACTTACTTCCCTGAAAACTAAAACCTTCAAAAATGTAAATGCAACATCTATCGTCGCCATCTGTCATCTTGAAGCCCGTTAATCTTTTATTCTTTCCTCAATCCCTCCTATACCCTGTCTTTTCTCTCTTCCACTCTCTGTAACCTCCTGCGTACTAGGGTCATTCCTGCCTTGCTTGGAGTAAAATGAAAAAAAAAAGAATCACTGTTAATTTGTAATTGTGATAGCACTTTTTCTTTTCTCATTGTCCAAGGTCATGTGTGACGCAGGATTGAACCTACTACTATTAGTTAACTTAAGTGTCCTCAAAATGGTTGATATCGACCCCTAAGAGTTGATGGGGTCTATTCAGGAGGTCGATAAATTCCCCGGGGAAGTTAGAGTATGGTCGATAAATAAATCGTGGTGAGTTATGACTGGTCTATGGTCATGTGGGACAATTTTGAATGTACTACTTTAAGCCTAGTGTTCTTCTATCCCGCTTGCTAATGATAATGCTACTGTTGACACTATGAGTTCAACCCCTGAGTAGTACAGACTTCAACTCAGGGGAAATAATAGAGTAGTACTAGATAAGAACAAATCGAACAATTGAACGAGAACAATCTACTTCCAACTTGTTCATTTCGAAATTTCCTGAAAGTTATTCAGAAGACGGTCAGTCAGCACAATGGCCAAAACAGCGTACTAATAACAACAAGAATGGGGATATTAGTATGAATGTAAATAATGACAACACATCATTCCAGGAATTCAAACAGAAATTATTTTTAAAATGTTTATTATTATATATGTTATTTTTTGTGAAGATTTTCTTTTTGCATTATGGTAAAATCAAAATAGGCATTTAAATACTATTATTGTGCTGGATACTACTAAAACACAAGTTCATCCTCTTGAAATGTCTACACACTTTGTGTTGTGTATGAGTGAGTAGGTAAAAGTACGTGCAGGTGTAAATGACTAATAAGTATATACTTACTAAATAATGGCTTGATCTAGGTTCTCAGGTTTCTTTTTTACATTTGCTTTCATATTTGTTTCATTATTTTTTTTGCCAATCAAGTCTTGACAAGTGCCAAGATCAAGATAACATATTCTAGATGACTCGTAATAATTGTTAATAAGCAAATCAAAATATATCAGGAAAGAAAACTTTAGTTTGTTCAGAAAAAATCTCCCAATATCATGGTTTAGGAATAACTTTTGTAGCGTATGATTCAGTGGAAATAATATATATATATATATATATATATATATATATATATATATATATATATACTTGTAGATGACGTTTAATAGTTAAGTTCAATTCATGATAGGAGGGATCAACTATTTCAATTGTCATTTTTTATTCTATAGTCCAGACCAATGAACGGGTTGTCTTCTTGTGAGTTTGGGCGACGCTAAAATTAAATAATATTCAAAATATCATTTTTTTAATCAATGTATAACGATCACAGCAGAGCGATTTAAAAAGTTTGTAACTGTTAGTAAATGATAGATAATTTTATCACAGATGAAGACGATACTTAAAAGCAAAAGTGCCGTGCTTCCTACAGAATTATGTTGAGAATATCATGGACGCTGCGTGTAACGAACATAGAAACAGAAGGACACTTGTACTTAGAATCAGAAAAAAAAAGTTGAAATTTCTGTGACACGTAATGAAGAAAAATGGACCTGAAGAATTTGACCCTCACAAGACATAATGCAGGAGGGACAGAGAGCAAAGAACCTATTAAACAGCTGGATGCCAGAACATGGAATAGGAGGAATATTAAGGGAACAAATGTTGTTTAGACTTATAAAGTATAAGGAAGTTTTGGAGAACCATGATCACTTACATACTGAAGCAACACGGCACAAAGAAGAAGAAAAAGTAGAAATTGATAGTAAACTTACTTTTTGATAAGTTTACCATCATTTGACTAACAATGACTAAATGGTCATATAGCTGTTTTATTATGGAAATCTAAAAACGGAATTTATCAAATACAATAGACTAAGATTGGGTGATTTAATCTAATAGCAACTAAAGTTGCAAATTTTCTAGACGGAATTTAAAATATTATAACATTTTATATTATATCTTATATCATAAATATTTAAATAGATTTAATCTAATAGCAACTAAAGTTGCACATTTTTATATTTTATAAGTTATAGATTTCTAAAGTTGCAAATTTTTCAGTCCAAGAATTGTATATACATTTGTCTTGAATTATTACAATACTTTTATTATGAAATTGATGAAATATATTTTAAAAATGACATACTTGTGGCTCAATGTATACTCGAATTTAACATTTGGCGGTCATAAATCAAAGAAGAACCGGACTTGTGAATGCTTACGGTAATAAAAAAAAAATTGATGGGTGTTGATGCATACTAGTCGATTTATAAGTTAGATCTTTTCTCAAGTTCATATGCTGATGTATTCTTACGTTGTCACGTGTCATGTATTCCTTCAATTAATGTAACAGGATACAAGTGTAATGTGTAGGCTGGCAAATCTTATCGCTTTAACTTCCCAGGAGAACGAACATTTTATCGCTTGTAATGTAAAAAGATGTGAGACAATAGAGTCAAGATTAGATTTAGCGATAATGCTGATTAATAACTTCTGCTGACAACAGGTGGCGTGACAGTTTTTTTTCTGTGTACATTAATTGATTGGGTCATTTTTGATATCTTTGGAGAAGATGAATTTACTGTCTAATGAATAAAATCTTGAATATATCAAGAAGTGTTATCATCTTCGTTTTGTGACGAGGCAAAAAATATATATCTATTTTTATGT